GAACAATCCAGCTGTCACCAGCTCAGCACACCTGGGAAGGTCACGGAGAGCAGCCTCCTGGAGCACTGGGTGGCACTGGACACTTCCCCCAGATTTTAGTGTTCCTAAAGCAGCTCGTGGCTGTGGCAGGAGACAGCCAGAGCTGCGGTGCGAGGCTGGACAAGTTGACGAAGCCAGCAGTTAGAAACCAACATCCTTCCCAGTTAGAAACCAGCTGAGCACGGTTCACTTGGGCCGCATCACCAACAGGTTCACACTGGCTGAAGCTTTTAGGATTAGAAGAAACGCATTTCGCAAAGAAACAAAACAATTTAACGGAGAAGCTGTTAGCTCTTTTTTCCCTTCCAAAGACATCCAGAGCCTCTACCAGAACCTGATTTTAACAACATTTTGTTTAAAAACACCGACGCCTCGGCAAGCAAGTGCATCCAGTACCTACAGAGGCTACAGGAAAGCTGGAGAGGGACTTTTTCCAGGGGCATGTGGTGACAGGACATGGGGCAATGGCTTTGAACTGAAAGAGGGGAGATTTCGATGGGATCTAAGGAAGAAATTCTTCCCTCTGAGGGTGGTGAGGCACTGGCACAGGTTGCCCAGAGAAGCTGTGGCTGCCCCATCCCTGGAAATGTTCAAGGCCAGGCTGGATGAGGCTTTGGGCAACCTGGTGTAGTGGAGGGTGTCCCTGCCCATGGCAGAGGGGTTGGAACTGGGCGATCTTTGAGGTCCCTTCCGACCCAAACCATTCCATGATTCAAGTCCCCCACGCACTGTCCACATGCGGCAGTATGGGATGAGTCAGCTGAGCCCAGAGTCAGTTTTGTCGGGATGAGACCAGTCCCAGATCTCCGTACTTACTTTAAGCTCTTCCAGGCTGAAGCCTCTGCCGGCACGAACTTTTTTGTGGTATCTGATCGTGGGACACCTCACTATGGGCCGGATGGGCCCGGCCACGGGACGGGGAGCGATGCGGCGAGCCTTTGCCTGGCGAGCCTTCCTCCTGGAACGTCCAAGGGGACATCCATCAGCGACACCGCGTTTCTGCCAGACGTGCCACGCCTACAGTGCCAGGTGAGCCCTCCTGCCAGGCAGATATCTGCTTCTGCAGAGCAGCTGCAGCCATCAGACACACAAGGGTTCGAGGGAATCATCAGGGTGGTACAGCGATTCCGGAGATTTCGCATCACTTGGCTGCAGCTGGCATGGCATGTGCTGGAGCCGACCCTGCCCACAGACCCCGCTCCAACCGGGCACGCTGCTGCGATCCTGCCACCTTGACTAATAATTTTGGAAGAACCGCTTAAACCAGAGACGCGGCACTTCCCAAGGGGCGCGATACGCCGAGA